GTGCCACGTCACAGTGCCAGGTCACAGTGCCACGTCAGCAGTGCCACGTCATAGTGCCAGATCAGCAGTGCCACGTCAGCAGTGCCAGGTCAAAGTGCCACGTCAGACTCAGTGCCACATCAGCAGTGATGTCAGACTCAGTGCCACGTCAGCAGTGATGCCAGACTCAGTGCCACATCAGCAGTGATGTCAGACTCAGTGCCATGTCAGCAGTGACGTCAGACACAGTGCCACGTCAGCAGTGCCACAGCAGCAGTGCCACGTCAGCAACATGACGGGCCTGCCAGGGCAACTGCCCAACGAGTCCCTTGCCGCCTACAAGCAGCGGTTCCACACTCAGATTGAGGCTGAGGAACAACGCCAGCTGGCAGCCGAGGTTGCCCGCGTACAGGCTGAAGAGGCAGCAGCAGCAGAGCAGCTGCGACTACAGGCTGACGCAGATGCAGATGCCCAGGCTCGCCGCAAGGAAGCCCAGGATCTGCTGCAGCGGCATGAAGCCAACAGCATCGACAGACTCAAGTTCTGGCACTTTGAACCGAACGGCGACGAGGCAACACCGGAAGAGAAGCACAAGGAGTTTCTCTCCAAACTCGTGACGCAGTTGTTGTATGCTTGCAACTACCAACGGTCAGAATTGGAGAGACAGTACCAGGACCTGACGCAACAGCATCAGGAGTTGGCAAAGCTCCGCCGCATAGTGCAGAGCCACGAGGATGCAACTCGGGCACTCAATGCCCGATTGCTGGACCTGGAACAGGCTGTACCAGGACCAACTGCTGGGGCTTCCAGCAGTGGACCCTCTAGCCGCCACTGGAGGACCGCGTTGACCACGTAGTGGCAATGCTCGGGGACATCAGCACTTTCGCTGCGCCGACCAGCACCATCAGCAGTCAGCTGCATATATTGGAGACCGAGGTCCAGCAACTGCAGTCGACGAACGCGGACGAGAATCCGAAGATGTACAAGATGCCAACTTTCAACCTGGAGAGGTTTGACGACTACACGCAGCAGGATCCGGTCCTCTGGTGGGAAGCATTCACAACGCAACTCAGGATTCTGCCCGTAGCCAAGCATGCGTGCATCGACGCCCTGTTCCTGAACTCAAAGGGCGGATGCCAGACCTGGTTGAGCCACCTGGCAACCTCCCACGGCGTCGACATACCAAACTTGAAGGACAAAATCACATGGGAGGAACTGACACGGCTGTGGAAGAAGCGGTTCATCGTCGACAACGTGCCGGCACTCGCCATCAACCGTTTGTTCACCATGTCACAGGGTAACACTGCAACACGGGATTGGCTCACAGAGTGGCAGAAGATTGCGGCAGTGCCCAATCTGGATCTGCCTTTCACTCATCTCAGACGTGAGTTCTACAACAGGTCCTGTGATGCATTGAGCCAGGCCCTTGGTGATCGCGAGCAGTACTCCACTTTCGCCGAGATTATCGACAAGGCGAGAGAGATCATCAAGACCAACAGGTCAGCTGCACACGAGAAATCAACATGGCAGCCGACCTATGTGGAGAAGGTACGAACTGGTCCGCGACAGCAGCACTTCGCTGCAGTCCAGCAGGACAGTGGAGATGACCCAGCAGCCACTCCAGCATCAAGGGACGGAGATTAGGTGGTTGCTGTCCAGCCGCGAAGCAACAACAAGTCCCGCAACAATGGGAAGGCGAAATCCGCATCGCAGGTCGGAAATGGACAGCCAGTACAAGTTTCATGGGTCAAGTTTGGCTTGACCGAGGCGGAGTACAAGGTCCGCGGCCGCTATGGCAGCTGCTATTGGTGCAACAACACCAAGCACAAGACCTCCTTGTGCCAAGATCAGGGCAAGGAGGATGTGCGACCCCGCCCCAGCTCGGGAAACTGAGCTCCGCGGAAGGTGAGGCGACTCCACCTTCTACTCCGCCAGATTCGGCCGCCTTGCTAGCGGCCTCCTGCACATCTGGGGAGAACGCGAATGTCGCAAGTTCTCRTTACACTTACGAGGACTATGCTGTCCACTTGGTTCCACCGCTGGACCAACCGCTCCACGTGCAACAATCCATCGCATGCACGGTTTCATCACCATCGACAACCAATTCGGCAGCTTCGCCGCAATCTATCGCCAGGGATTCGACGTCATGGTCAAGACTTGAAGAGCTCGACCCATTGATGTTCACGGACTTCCAGTGGATGCCCGTTCCCTCGACCGGACGATTGTCGAAACTGCATTGCAACGTGCTCTTGGCACAATTGCGGGATTACTTGCACACTGCAGTACCAGCTCCATTGATGGACGCCGGAGCAGAGGTTGTCGGCCTTCACGCTTACATCGCGAAGATCGACCGCGAGTTCAAGACGCAACGGTACGACGACATCGACGCACCATTGCTATACGTACGCATTCAGATCGGAGAGGCGACCTGCAGTGCCTTGATCGATTGCGGAGCATCTCGCAACTACATCAGCCAGGACTTTATGGTACGCGCCGGCCTTGGCCCACGTGTCCGGAGGAAGTCCCAACCTACGCAAGTCACGTTGGCAGACGGTCATACGCACAAGTCAATCGACCGGTGCATTGACGCCGTCCCCGTGTACTTTGCCCCTCACGCAAGTGAGGCGGTGTCCTTTGATATTCTGGACACCAAATTTGACATGATCTTGGGCATGTCATGGCTGCGAAGCGAGGATCACCCGGTGAACTTCTTCAAACGCACCGTTCACATTCGTGATCGGAACGAAGTATTAGTTTCATGCACGGTGCCCCTTCCTCATCCTTCGATCATCATCAGAGACGACATCGAGGAGATGGGGTTGTGTTTTCTCCACGACCTCCCGCCCCATGACGCTTCATCGACGAACTCACCTTCGGATCCACGCATCACCGAGCTTCTTGACGCCTACAGCGACGTGTTCGAAGGCCCGCACGAGTAATACCGGATCGACCCATCCGCCACGAGATCATCCTCGAGGACGGGGTCGTACCTCCGCGCGGTTGCATCTATCGAATGAGCGAGGAAGAGTTAAGTGTGCTTCGGACACAACTCGACGACCTCCTGGAAAAAGGCTGGATTCGGCCTAGCTCATCGCCATACGGTGCTCCTGTTCTCTTCGTCCGGAAGAAGAACAAGGACCTGCGGTTGTGCATCGATTATCGCAAGCTCAACGCGTAGACGATCAGGAACGTCGGCCCTCTCCCACGCATCGACGACCTTCTCGAGCGATTGGGCGGCGAATAGTTCTTCTCTAAGTTGGATCTCAAGTCAGGGTACCACCAACTCGAGATTCGCAAGGAGGATCGCTACAAGACCGCGTTCAAGACACGGTATGGGCATTTCGAATGGCTGGTCATGTTGTTTGGCCTTACGAATGCCCAGCCACTTTCCAAGCGGCTATGACAACGGAGTTCCGACACATGCTGGATCGGTTTGTACTCATCTACCTCGACGACATCTTGGTGTATAGCCGGAGTTTGGACGAGCATGTGGACCACCTGCGCACCGTTTTGGAGCGGCTAAGACAAGCCAAGTACAAAGCAAACCACGACAAGTGCGAGTCCGCACAGCAGGAGCTGGAGTACTTGGGACACTATGTGACGCCGCAAGGCATCCGTCCGCTTGCGGACAAGATCGAGGCCTTACGAGTATGGCCCGAGCCCACCAACACCACAGACGTTCGTTCATTCATGGGGTTGGCGGGCTACTATCAGCGATTCATCACCGGATACTCCAGGATTGCTGCACCTATGACGAGGTTACAGTCGCCAAAGGTGCCATTCGTATTCGATGACGACGCACGCCGGTCATTCCAAGCACTTAAAACGACTTTGCTCATGGCACCCGTTCTTAGCATCTATGACCCCACCCTGCCAACGCGAGTGACTACGGACGCTTCCGGCTATGGCATTGGGGCAGTCTTGGAACAGCACGACGGCGACGACTGGCACCCTGTGGAGTATTTCAGCCACAAAGTGCCTCCCATCAACTCGCTTGATGATGCMAGGAAGAAGGAGCTGCTCGCATTCGTGATGACTCTCAAGCGCTGGCGGCACTTCCTCCTTGGGCGTCGTAGGTTCACATGGRTCACAGACAACAATCCATTGACCTACTATAAGACGCAGGACACGGTAAGCAGCACGATCGGACGATGGATGTACTTCATCGACCAATTTGACTTCACACCAAAGCATGTCCCCGGCCTCTCCAATCGCGCAGCAGATGCACTCTCGCGAAGACCTGATCTTTGCGCTATGACACATCATGCCTTCGCATTTGACGAGGAGCTTCAGCGACACTTCATCCGGGCATATCAGTCTGATCCGGACTTCGGCACGCTCTATGCACAACTATCTTCGGATCACCCGCTGACCAGCTATTACCGCATTGCCGACGGGTACTTGCTCCTCCACTCGAGAGGCAAGGACTTACTATGTGTCCCACGCGACCGTTGTCTTGGGACTCGCCTCCTCGGCGAGCATCATGATTCACGACTCACCGGCCATTTCGGAGTCAACCGCACTATTGCACGGCTTCGACAGCGATTCCGATGGCCCGACCTCATTACCGATGTCACTCGGTATTGCGACTCTTGCGAAGTCTGTCGACGCAGCAAGCCCCGCAACCGAAATCCCTACGGCGAGTTACACCTGATGCCTATCCCACGGGAACCCGGTCTCTCCATTGCCATGGACGTCACCGGTTCGTTCCTCGCGACCGGCTCGGGCACGACGGCATCCTCACGGTTGTGGACCGATTGAGTAAGTACGCGCGTTTTCTCCCTTGCAAGTACTACTCCACGGCTCCCGAG